AATCAAAATTTTTTCTTGCGTATTTTGTTTAAATTAAATAGAATTGATCACATTAGCCATTATTATAATATGGCAAATATTTTAAATGTAAGTCAATTACACACTGTTTATTCTTTAACTTTCTGTCCGTTACTTCATAAGCAAATTATCATATTTAAAAACCATAATACTCGATCCTTGAGATATAATTCTGATTTTTATTTTTCTAAACCCAGGTCAAATTTTTATATAAATTCAGTACTTTTTTTATCAATGCATCTTTGGGATTTACTGCCAATATATGCTAAGAATTCATTGACTCTATGTTCTTATAAAACTATAATAAACAAATTGGTTCGTTCAAATTACTTTTCTTGATTAATTTTTAATATAGCAACTCGACCATTTAGTTTTATTGTCTTAATTTTCATATTACTCGAAAATGTTTTATTATTATTATTAGTGTATAGTTAAAAGAATTCCTTTCTCATCATCTATTATTTTTATATTTTGTTTATAATAGAATTAGTTTCATGTTTATGTTTATTACTATCCATAATCCTTTTCTATTGTGTATAGGTGGCCCTACAAGTTGATACTTCAGGTCTCCTAGCGAAAAACTGTTGTTATTTTGCTGAATAAAGCTATTTTTGAATTGAATTGAATATATAATTGAATTGTAATTATCATTATTGTAATAATTTTATCATTATTGTAATAATTGAAATATAAAAATTTTAAAGTTCCAAGCTGTTTAGTGGTCATTATATAAATGTCTCAGCATCATTAATATCCACAAACTACAACAACAATTATCCTCACGACCTAGTTCAAACAAAAACAACTACAACCAGCTTAGCTTCATTCATTAATTCTTAAGTTATTTGGAAAAACTAAGGTATGTCAAATGAAAATGTTTAGTTTGCAGTAGGGATCATCCAATTTGCATTGGAATGAATAAACATGTTGATAATTTTTGTGGAGTTTAGCAGACTGGTTACCATAACGAAAGTGTACATACCAGCTGTCGTTATAATAAAACTGTTCATTAAATTGGCTGTATTGGTTGTATAATGAAAGTGCTATCAGTGGTTATCATAATGATAATGCTCACATGTATCATTCACATGCTACTTGCCAAAGATAATTTGTTACGATTCTGTTTGAACATTTTTGATAAATGTTTAAAGAAATAACTTTTTACTCAAAATAATTAAAAGTTATAATCGGGTTTACAGATAAATGCACATGTTTACTTATTCATATAGCTGCAAGAACGTTTTCATAATTTTTTCAGTTAAATTTTTGAGATTCTTATATACTTTTGAAAATAATAAGAATTGAATTAATTTCATTTGGAATAATTCTGCTGTAACAACAAATAAATTAAATCAATAAATAAAAAACTTGTCTTCAGCACAAAGAAAAATTAAGCAATTTATAAAGTAACATAAAAAATATTACTATAAACATTAACATAATTAATGTTACAACAACACCATGTAGTAGCAAATATTAAGTGAATTTATTATCATTGCATTAAAATTCAAAAAATAAATTTGGTGTGTGTGGTGTATCACAATACTTACATTATATTTGTTACCATGTATATGTACTATCATAATTATTATAACCATCATGTATAACACCATGGTTCTTATTATCACCATTGCTAACAATCTTCTTCACTATACCTACCATCTCTCCCACTGTCTTAATCATAACTTCATTTTTCAATCAATAAATGATAAAAATCTAAACAGCTTGAGCTCTAATACATAACATATAAAATATAAAATGTACACATACATTATATATAGATGTTATATGTATGTATGTATGTATGTATGTACAACTGCACAAAGTTACACACATACGAAGCAGTATGAATGTTTGCATTGTTCAGCTCATAAATATTTCAGTGTTCAAGCCTTATATCTATAATTATCATGTGATGAGCTAAAAATAAACTAACTAAGGCTAAAAATAGAAAAAAAATTAGCAACATCTGTTAGCCTTCAAATTTAAGATGACACAGAACAAATTAGTAATGAAAGAAATAACACGATGAAAATGATTATGACGATGAAGATACAATACAAATCAAGATGATGATGATGATAATTATAAAGACAATCAATGCAAGTGCTGCAAGGATGTTGTTTGGGCTGATAGTGCAAATCTGAAAGTGTTTTAAATAACAATTATGTTTGTCAGTTGAATATAAGATTTATGCCATGAAATGCTCAACAGTATGGCGCCAATAGATTTTGAATATTGAAAAAATTGAGAAAATTGAAAACATGAATAACTATAATGGAGAAAAAAATTAAGGTAAAAAAGTTACAATTACGATATTTAAGTTACAATTACGATATTTTAACACTAAAATATCATGAAACAAACAATTTATAGATGTCCATGGATTCTAAATGGCTATAACCGTTTACACACACACACCGTCGCACGCACATACAAAACACACACACACACACAGATATATATATATATATATATATATATTCGGTTACTTTGCAATAATATATTATATATATTATATGGTTAAAAGTTTGTGATTCCATAGAAATAAATTGAAGTCCAGGATCAACGGATTAAGAAGATGGAGAGTAAAATTAGTGGAAAGCAAAGTTTAAATTTCATGTTGTTACAATAATAAAGAAGTGATTTAGCCTTGAGGTGATCTGCCCTGAAGAATGGGAGACTGGAACAACTCCTAGAAAATTTATACTTTGAAGAAATATTTTATAAAATAATTTAACAATAAAACGATTGTGAGTATGTAACTACAAATTCTTTGTGCATAAGAAGGTTCAAAATTGAATTTAATTAAATCACCAACTACAAATGAAACTACTTTGACATCATCTGATAAAAAACTGTAATCATAAAATTATCTTCATAATATCCGGTATTTTTATTTGTAACAAAATCAATGTTAATAAATATTATAAAATCTGAATGAAGAGAGGAATGAATTGATTGCAAACGAGTGCAATTCATCAACTGAATCAAATAGAAAATATTTAAAGGTAGCAGCAGAAAAATGTTAAACAAACAAACCCAGAAAGATTTATATCAATAGACAAGTACTCACTTTCATTGCATATACATACAAATATGTATCTTACTCTTCATACATTTGTTCGTCTATCTATTTGTCTAACAATTCATCCAGTTACTCATCCATCCAGTCATCCATCTGTCCATCTATCCAATATCTATCCATTTGTCTATCAATCTAACCATTATATAGCAACCCATTATTATTATTATTATCGACATTTATATAGCGTCAATTATAATTCAGAATTCACATTGGCGATCACTAGTCATAACCATTCGGTTACTTTGCAAAAAATATTGAACATATACGTCTTCAAGTTCTTCTTAAATTCTTCAAGTGCTATATCAGGTTGTCTTACATCACTTGGCAAACTGTTCCAAAAAGTCGATCCAGCAACTTGAAAATCTCTTCCAGCTGTTTTCAAATTAATCTTCTTAACACGAAGGATGTTCATGTCTGATGATCTCAAACTGTGATGAGTACGAATCATTGAAGCTCTGTTACAGTTATTTGCTAAGTATTCAGGTGCAAGATTGCTCATACATTTGAAAACTAAAACTCCAAGTTTCAACAAATTTTTTTTTTGACAGAAAGCCAGTGTAGAGACTTCAAAATCAGAGAAGCATGATCAAATTTCATTTCACCATGATTAGTTTTGCTGCCTGGTTCTGTATAAGTCGAATTTATTAGGAGCTGTTAATCTGAAATTCCATACAGGAGACTATTACAGAAATCCAGTCTGGATGTAATCAGTACTTGCACCAACAAATGTATCTATTCATTCATTCATCCATCAATTTATCCATCCATCCATTCATCCTCATATATCTAGCGTTCCATCCATTCATCCACCCAGACAATTCATCAATTTCACAATGCATGGTGTGATTTATAACCATGGTAAGATTTACACAGTGTAGAGTTAGTATGGGTTATAAAAGGCAGAACAAATTTATGAGTCTTTTGTAGTTTTGCATTTTGTGTTTCAAATAACTTCAACCAGATTACAAAATGTCAAAAAACATCACGACATATTATTATATAATGAACATTAAACAAAATGTTGAAAATTCCAGAAAAAAAAACATAAAAAATGTCTGAAAAGATTACAAGCCCACACTCGCGCACACATTTATCAATCACCGTGACCATCGTCATCATCAGCGTAATCATCGTCATCATCACCATCATGGCCATCACCATCATCACCATCATACTCACCAATATGGCATCTTTCAAATTTCGTCGAATGTCATCTGCTTTCTGTTTCCTCTCCCTGATTTTGATTGAAAAGAAAATTATTTTTAGTTAAATCCTAAAAGTTTCAAAAAGTTCCATAATAAATTTTTAAATTTAAAGGTATGAAATATTGAAAACAGATCAAAAACTAGTTCAGAAATGTGAGGAAAACTTTTTAATCCTAACTTTTAAATATGGGTCAAAAATATTTTGCTGGCAAATAATAAAAAAACACACAAATAAATAACAATAATAATAATAATAAATAATAATAATAATAATAACAACAACAAAAATAATAATGACAACCAGCTAGCTATCTGTGAAATAAAAAAAAAACAGTTGAACATCATTGCACATTTCTTCTACTTGTGTTATGTGTACATTTTTACAGCTGCTTTACCATGTCATGTTCTAAAAACATAAACAGAATACTTCAACAGTTAAAAATAAAGTTCTCAAATTATTTTCAGTCTGTCGGTTTGTTTTTAAAAAAATATTTCATGCCAGTCAAACATTAATTGAAATGTTTAAACCCACTATTAATAAAAATATTTTTTTTAAATGTTATAAGTGATAACTTAATCATACTGATCAAATATTTTGTTTATATAAATGTGATACTATTGAATTAATTGATCATCTTCTCATCTAATAAAAAAAAAATAAATTCAATAGAATTTTCTTTCATTTAAAATGAACTTTAAATATGTAATAACATAGGATTACATTAATATAAAAGTCTTACACAAAGAGTTTCAAATATAAATAACTACAAATGGATTAAAAGTTCTAAAACTTCACCTAGTTTCTGAAAAAGTTTATGTTTTGAAGAAAAAACTCTTCCAACAGAATCATTGCAACATCGCATTCTTTAAAAGCCAAGGCACCAAAAATAACCAGAGAATTCAATCAACCAAGGCATGGCAATCTCTACCTAATTTTGAATCTTTTGGACTCAGTAGTATGTTCAAATGAAAGAGCGTGAAGGAGGGCACAAAGTTCATAGTTGAAAATTTCTGATAAAATAAAATTATCAAAAATGAATTAATAAGCAAAACCCCAATTAAATTAAAGTAAGACCCAAAGAAACTATTTGTCCATTCAAGGATATGACCATAATTAATTAAGTTTTATCAATGAACGATGATGTTTACCACTATAAAATATTGCAGGTCACAAACGTTGATGAATAATATAAATGACCAAAACTAAGTTATCCAACCAACAACAGCAGACTTCTCAAGTCTCATAATGATAAACAGGAGATGGTTTTTAACCTCTTCAAAAAAAAATGAACAAAATTAGTAAACAATTTTGTAACAATATCTAAAAGTGTATTAGCTGAAAGCATGCTTACACACACAAACACACACACACACACACACATAGAGAGAGAGAGAGAGAGAGAGAGAGAGAGAGCAAATTTCATAGCCTTACAAGGTACATGCAGCATTGATATTGATAATTCATGCAGAAGCTGTAATGTAACACTTCTGTTCATGTGAATGGAAGTAATGGGAGATCAATTAAATATTCAAAATCAGCAGCACTCTCTGATATGAGATTCTGAACCACAAACATAGGACGGTACAACTTCGGGTGCTAGTCAGTTAAGTGCTTCATTCAATTTTAATGAACATCAAATCATATCACATAAAGTCACTAGACCTCCAACGCTTTAATATTACTATCACCGTCCGTATCAATTGTGTAACAACATTCACACAAAATATAATAACATAAACAAGATAAATATAACGTATAAGAAACATTATTAAGAAGTACAATGGGCTGTACTGTACAATGTACACCTTTCTAGAAAGTTTCACCACAATAAATAAGTAACCCTACTGCAATAAATAATTTTATTTTTAACTCCATAAAATGCAATCAGACACGCAGCCAAACAAACACATTACGGAGAACAGCTCAATACAATGCACAGCATATGTTGTGTTGCTTTGCTGTGATGGTGTTGTTGTTTTTGTTGTTATTGATAGTTTGCAACAAAATTCGGCCAGATGAGTAATTGCTGGTCCAGAACATCAATACAAACAAGGTATCTAAAGATAAAAATTTTTGAATAACCTTAATTTCAATGCGTCATTCCATTAGAAATAGTTAGATATTCATTGAATATAAAACTATCAACTACTTACAAAACTACCAACTACCTACAATGCAACCAAAAAAATCTTTGTTATTGATAATGCAAATTAGAACAAATGACAAAAATTATAAAAGAATGATGATAATAATAATAATTTTTTATTGAATAAAAAAATGAACTATCAATATAATAAATTAAAATATGACAGAATAAAATAAATTAGAGTTAAAATTAATAAAATATGGTAGTCTATTTTGTTCATCATTCAATGTGAATGCATACTAAAAGATGTTAACTTTTTAAATAGAATTCGATCAGTAGGTATTCTGCAACAATTATATTGAATATGATGGTGACAATAAATCAGAATTTATTAAACTGTTTCTAAAATGTTCAGACCAAATTGAATTGACTAGTGATAAATTAAACGTATCATATATTCCCAATATAGAAATTTCGAAAATTTTTATTAAAGGTAAAAGTTATTATATTCTCTTTTTAGATTTAATTGTAAATTTTTGTTATATTTGATAATTTTAAATTCTTTTGACTTTATAAATTTAGAGAAAAAGAAATAAAGAGAGAGAGAAAGAGAGAGAGAGAGAGAGAGAGAGAGAGAGAGAGAGAGAGAGAGAGAGAGAGAAAGAGAAAGAGAAAGAAAGAAAGAGAGAGAGAGAGACAGACAAACGAACAGACAAACGAACATACAAACGGACGAATGTAGTACTAACTCAGCACTGAACCCATTGACATGGAGAATCCTCATCTGTTTCACTACGGTAGACTTGCCTGACTCCCCGGCGCCTGTGCATGGTAAAGGCAAAGATTTTATATTTAAAGTGCAAAATATTAAATAAATAAATAAATTTAGAAATAAAAAATTAATAAATATCAATGAATTGTTTTAAAATAATAAGATGCTATTATTACTATTACTACAAGCACAAAAACATGTACTAAAGACAAAAGAGGTAACAAAAAAAGATAAACACAAATATAAACTGCAGCTGAAAAATCACAAATGCAAATAGAATAAAAATTCAATCAGCATAATAAACATATAACAAGCACAAAACAAAAACTGCAAAAAAAGTGATTTCACTGAGGATCAACTCATATCTTGAACTAATTTAATTCTGCTCCCCCTACTATCTAGGTAACTGCTGCTTTGAAATTTATATTCCAACACTGAAAATACAGAGAAACAAATTTTTATAACAGCTAAACGCCACATATGATAAAAAAATGCACCTATCTCTTAAGTTCTTTCATTTAAATAAAAATCAACTGATAAATTCAGAAGACTGAGTCTAATTTCTGATTGAATCCAATCACCCAATCACCCAATTTTCTCACAAAACTACATCAACTAACTCAAGAAATTGATAAAAACACGTTCATATTAAAACAAACCAGTACATACAAAATACATACAAACAAAACACTCACAAATATTTTACTGAACTAACCTAATAACAATAATCTGTGTGTGGCTCTGTATGTTTGCTTATCTTTTTGTAATTGTTTTTCAATCCTCTTGTTGGCCTCCCTACGTATTTTATCATCCTCACCTTCCACAGACTTGCTGCTAAAACAGCTCATCATGAGGATGTTATTCAGAGGGCGATGATGTGATGAAGAAGAAGAAGATGTACTTTGGAAGGATGGTGATGTGATGGTGATGATGTAGTTTTAGAAGGATAGTGATGTGATGGTGATGAAGATGATGTACTTTAGAAAGCGTTAATAGGATGATGGTGAAGATGGTGAGGTACTTTAAAGAGTGGTGATGTGACGAAGAAGATTATGTACTTCAAAGGATGGTGATGAAGAAGATAAAGTTATTAAGAGGATGGTGATATAATGATGATTAAGAAGATGATATCCAGAGGTTGGTGGTTAAATAATAATGATGAAGTTTAGAAAATGGTGATGCTAAGAAGATGAGAGAAGAAAACCCCAATGTCTGCTTTACAATGATGATAACTCCTGAGTAACAACAATTTTATAATTGATGATGCAATTGTGTTCCTTTCCAAACGCAAGTTAATGTTTTTTGTGTGTTGATGATACTGTGAATGGAAAGCAATCAAAACTACAGCAACAGTTGTAATATATCCCACTGATGACTTGATTTGCAATAACTTTTTGAAGAAAGAATGACAAATGATATATTCTTAACAAATGATGTATTACCTTAACAAAGTAGTCCTTAAAACTTTATAATAATTTTTATTTAAAACTTAATAAAATAAATAAAAATATATATTTAATTTTTATTTTTGGTAATTTTTTTAAATATTATAACAATTAATTAGATGTTTAATAAACTAAAATGTATTTCAGTGGTTCAATTAAACGAAAAATAAGCTGATCGAAATAATCTCCATATTCAAATGGTGAACAAGTTTTCCTATTCTTATTTTCCTGTATTGAAACACATAAAAATTAATGTGTTAAAATATTAAACAAATTAGGCAGTTTTTAGCAATGATAATAATTATGATATAAATTATATTAATTGTAAAACATGAATTTTAAAAGACCATGGAAATTATTACTTTTAAGCGGCAAAAATTAACAGTTAATTAAGTGAATTTGTTCAAATATGAAATTCAACTAAGTGACAACAGCAGCATTTTCAAAAAGTATGCAAAACGTCAATCTTGATCACAACTTCAGAGCAAAATTTAAAACATGGAAATTGTAAATTCACTCTTTAGAAAAAAATTTAGATAAAATAATACACATTAACTCCATAAATTGTGAATTAATTCATACTTACCAAATAAAAAGTATTCATATAGCTTCACCCAAACACAAGCCTGACTATGTTCAACAAGCAAGTTCAACATTAAACTGAAACATTATCATGAGTGTGCTTTGAATGTGGATTATGAAAATTGCTTTGAAGGAAAATTCAGACAAAGCAATTTTTTAAACTTTACAGAATTGTATCAAACAAATGTAAAGCACTTGAAAATTTGATTTGCACCATGAAGCAAAACTAAATGAAAGATGAAATATTTTAAAATAATGACGTTGCCAAGCAAGTATTTTTTATTTTATAAAAAAAATGTTTTCCAGTAAATCTGTTTATAAAATTTCTAGAAGCAATAAAAATATATTTTTTGGAAAATTCCAATTATTAAGTATAATAAAACCAAAAAAATAACTTTCAATTCAAAGTTTCATCTGAAAGATGAATTCAATCATAACTAAGGTTGCCAATGAAAGATTAAATGCTAACACAATTAAATGGTGAGAAAATTTTGGTCAAAATTACTGTCAGTCTGACTGAGACACCAGAGAGTTTCATGTGAGATGAACCTCTGAACAACAGAGTTCATGTAGAAAAGAAATACAAGGAAATCCTTAGCCGAGCAAAATTATGGTCTAGATTAAGAAAAAACTTTGAGATTAAATTTTTAAATTAATTTTTCTATAATAAAATTATTAACAACTTTTGAAATATAGTTACACCATTTGAAAATAAAACAATAAGATTATTTTTACAATAGACAAATTATGAAATCACCAGCCAGCAAGATTAAAAGACATCACACTGAGATAATAAGCAGTAATCAAATTTAAGAACTACCAGGCTTAAAACTTGAGCTATAAAGATCAAAAGATACTAAATAAAAAAAACACAGATATCAATCCATATACACAAGTATACACATATTAGCATTAAAACAAAAGCTTACTAATAAAGAACTTAAGGACCTATGCTGACAATTTCTGGCTAGAAATACAATATAGCAACCAGTAGGGTCTAGCAACTGTAACTGTTACTGTATATTAATAAATTATGCTGCACTTTATATAACAGAGTAGTAAATAACATTTTGGGCAATTCTAACTTCTTGATCACCTTCCTGTAAGTATTGGTATTTAGGCAGGTATATATTTTAGTTTGAGGTTAAGAGTTGTGCCCAATATATAAATTTGAGTACATATGAACACATGCATTTGAGAAAAATATTTGCAATCAACCCAATTCCTGACCATGACCCCTTAACTAAGCCAATGGGCATTAATAAACAATTAAAAAACTTTGTATAACTCTTGATCACTTGAAGATAGGATAGACAATATGAATAATCAATAATTAATAAAAATCATGATGATAACACATAAATTATTATAAATAAAAAATTTGGTAGAAAATTCAATCTAAACACTCTTTACTTTATAATTTTATGTAACTGATGTAATATATTTCCTATTCTTACATAAATTAAGTTAAATAAGCCAATACATTTTTTTATATAAATTAAAAAATAACAACTCATTGAAGATAAAAGTTAAATCAAGGTTTTACAAACTATATATATATAATATATATATAACTATATATAGAAAATATAACCAACATTCATATACAAAACATTTAAATAGAATAAAACCATTTTAAAATAAAAAAAAATGGTTTACATTTTATATTACAACACATTACAGATCAAAATTAATCTCAATGGCTTAATTAATTTTAATCCAACATCAAATCAATCTTTAATGTCAATTGCTGAATGAATCATTTTTAATTAATTTGTTTTTTTTATATTTATTTTTTTACTCTATTTTTTTAGTAATTAATTAATTTTTATTATCAACTATTTATTTTAATTTTTATAGTTTTAATTTTTACTCTCTAAGTCTTAAATTCTTAATCTTAAATCTCAACAAAATCCTCAAGTGAAGAAAAGAAATCTATTTAATTTAAAAAAAAATAAGAAAAAATTTAAACAAATAAATAATTTTTGGAGCAAAAAAAAGTTTATTTATTTATTTTTATTTTTATCATCAACATTTAATTTTTTAGTAGATTTACACACTTTACTTTCATCACTATTTTTTGAGACGTTTTATAATTTTAGAATCAGCAGACAACTGAAAAATCCTGTTTTAACCCTAGCTAGCAACATGAAGAATTATACAGTAGTCCAGTGGTGGATCTAGGGGTCAGGGGGCACTCAGGCAGTTTTTTAATAAAAAAACAAAAAATAGACAGCCAAACTATCACCAATCTTGGCCTCCCTTTAAAATTTAATCATTTTCAAAATTTTGTCCCCCCCCCAGTCAAAGTTGTCTAAATCCATCACTGCAGTAGGCTCCTAATAAATTCTAATTATCTGTAAGATATTTCCGCCTATTGGGTGTGTTATCTTCTGTTGGTAGTATAGACCAAGTGATCACAAAAATCCAAAACAAAATAAAACAAAATGTCGTTTATCCTTCAATCAAATCACGTTAAGAAATAGTGTATTGCACGCATTATATAATATAATACATTAAATTTAAAAAATTAAACAAAATCCCAACATTTTGAAACAGCCATTATTTAAAATTTTCAAACTATTACTCACTTTTAATTAGCAAAGTACAAATAAACTAGCCAAGGAAACAAAGACGTGGGAGATGAGGGCGTTTGTTGTTATTATCATCCAACAATCAATAACTTACTACTATCTGTATCTATGTATGTATCTATATAATATATCTTCTATCTATCTTACTCTACGATGATCAATTGATCGATCCTGCCTACAGACAGCTTTAAAAATTCAAGTAGATTGAGTTATTTACAATTAACATCAGATAAAAAACAAATATATTATTTAAATATATAAATAAAATGGCATTTATTGATTTAATTAAAACTAGTATTAGTAGCTATCTATTCACTACGATGCAAAATTTAGTAAAAATATGTATTCGCCGATATATGATGCATTTATCCAAGCAAGCAAAGCAACATATTATATTATTCCAGTGGCATAAACGGTACTAGTTGCACCCTGAAAACGCCGAATTACCAAACCACAGATGATTAAATTTTTTTTTAATAAAAACATCAAATCCTATTTAATTTTGGCGTTTCGATAAATACGAAACACGGCTTAACTTCTAGCAAGACAACGCTGATTATTATTTTTTCAATAAAAACCATACAAACCATATACACATTGTATGCAATAGAAATTACATACACAAAGCAGTTAAACATATATCTCTATATATGCATATTTATTTAATTTCATATACATTTATACATTTGCGAATGCATAATATATACACGGACACGATATATTTTATATAATATTGCAACGCGTTTATACATACAAACTAAAATATATTTTCATACACACATGGATGTATACATATTTATTAATAAATTACAATATATTATTAGAAAAATGGAGAAATTAAAATTTAAATAAATAAATAGCACCATAGTGATAGAATTTAATGAAAATTGTATACGTAAAGGCCTTATACCATATATATATATATATATACATATATATATATATATACATATATATATATATACATATATATATATATATATAATGAAAAAATGTTACATAACACGCGATATATAGTAATATAAGTTAATAAATAAGTAAACAAATTTGATATACTTAGGACGTATATGCAATGTAGTAGAATCGTAAAACCCTATTTATTTATAGTTATTTATATGAATCTATCTTGTGCAATTTCTTTGCATATTGGTGCGCTGTGCGATATTGTATTTAATGTTATTGAAAAATACGCTCATCACTGAATATACACAAGTT